CGTAGCCCTCCGCTGGACTCTCTCCAGTAGCTCTTCTTCTATTGGCATCTTTGTATAAGAATTTGGAGCGCTGCTGGAGCCCTAGGTTTGTGCAGCACTGACCAGGTTATTTACAGGTGCTCTTACAAAAAGCGTGTTTGTAATTACGATAATGAAAACACTGCCCTCCTGCAGATATTTATTTTTCTTGAGAGGTTAAGAGAAAAAACAAAAAAGAAAACTTTCATTTGGTGAAAACAAAAGCACACAAACCAACCCAAGGCTTCATGGTTTGAGCAGAAATAGCTCGTGGGTCACAGCTGAGCTTGCTCTGTACCCTACACAGGAGAGCTTGCTCTGTGCCCTGCTAACTTCTGGTCACACAGCAATTAACATCTTCATCTTCCGAAGCTGTCACCGACAGCCTACGAGCTCTTTCCACGCCACACTGAGATGCTCTAGTCCCCGTGTCCCCCGTCACGCTGCGCACGGGAGCCCAGGGAAAGCAGAGGCACCAGCCCACGCTGCCGCAGGGGACCAGAGCCTGGGTGGTGGTTGCAGGGGGTAGGAGCGTGCCGTCGCACCACCCTAGAAGCACAGACAGACAGACAACCACCGGCACAAACTCCCTCAACTCCTCAACCCTCAGAGGCACCGGGGAGGGAGTTGTGAGGAAGAGCAGGAGGGGAGAGCAGGACACCATCACCACCACGGACAAGCTCAGCTCAGCCCTGGGTGCTACCAGCTGCGAAACGGGCCAGAACCTCTGAATTTCATGACGGACGATGCAGATCAGCAGCAGCAGGGCAGCCTTCCCAAGGGGGGACAGTGCCGTGCTACCTTCACAGCAACGAAGACGACGGGGCAGAAGCCGACTGAACTAATCACCGTCATCAAGCTAAATGCTACCATAATTCTTCAAACTTTTTTAGTGCAGGCTCCCCAGAAACCGGCTGTGCTCCCCTCCCTGCCCCAGCACGTACCATGTCACTAGACATGGACAATGGGAAACCAGAGATCATTTATAGACTCATTTTCTTCTACTTGACAAGGCGTCACCAGCCGGCCACTCACTAAAGCTTTATCGGCAGGTTTGGAACCTTTGCTGCTCACACCTCACACAACCCTTG